GGCACCTGCTTCGCATTTAGGATTGGCTGCAGCTCCCTGCGGTTATGGGATCAAGATTTGAAACCTCGTTTGCCAATTCCCGGGAAAGTTGAATTCGCATAACGACGGCTGCAAAAACGGTCACAAAAAGGGTTCGACCTGACTTACAACTGCAACAACTTATGACGGAAGTTCCGATCTCAATTCTGGCCGTAAAGTTGAGGACTACCTATACAGGCAGTCCTCACGCTTACGACCGCCTCCCCGTGGTCACGTGATCAAGATTCGGGGGGGGGGGCTTGGCAACCGGCATGCATTTTTTGACAGTTGATCACGTGATCACCATGGATGGCCTTCCCAGGCGTCTTCTCACACGCAAAGTCAATGGGGGAAACTGGATTCGCTTAATGACCGCTGGATTCTTTTAACAACTGCAGTGAGTTGCTTAACAACCGTGGGGGAAAAAGTTCATAAAATCTGTGGTGACTCACTTAACAACCACCTGGCTTAGCAATGGAAGCGTTGCGAAGCCGTGATCCAAATTATGGTCGTAAATTGAGGATTACCTGTTTTCCAGAGGAGGCCAAGGGGGAAGGAATGCCAAATGAAAGCACAACATCCCAACCACTCAGAATTTGGTAACGGGTGATCCTCGACTTACAATCAAAACTGAGCCCGAAATTTAGGTTGCTAAGCACAACAAATTGTTAAGTGAGTTTCGGCCCCCATTTGCAACGTTTCTTGCCACAGTTATTAAGTGAATCGCTGAAGTTCTTAAGTTAGCACCACGGTTCTTAAGGGGACGTGGCTTCCCCCCATTGACTTTGCTTGTCAGAAGGTTGCAGAAGGGGATCACGTGACCCCGGGGCCACTGCAACTGTCATAAGAACATGCCAGTTGCCGAGCATTTGAATTTTGATTGCATGACCATGGGGATGCTGCAATGATAGTAAGTGTGAAAAATCATCAGTCACTTTTTTCAGAGGCATTGTAACTTGGAACTCCTTCCTTCCTTTCCTTCCTTCCTTCCTTTCTTCCTTCCTCCCTCCCTTCCTCCCTTCCTCCCATTTCCTTCCTTCCTTCCTTCCTTCCTTCCTTCCTCCCTCCCATTTCCTTCCTCCCTCCCTCCCTCCCTCCCTCCCATTTCCTTCTTTCCTTCCTTCCTTCCT